TGGTTAAGCCGAAGAGGCATCATCAGAGAGTTGACGAGAATTTATGAATGACCGGAAGAGTCAGTGGTCATCTGACACGTGGCACACTCTCAAACCATCACGAGATCCAACGGTGATCGTAGGCACAACTACCGAAGAATTGTAAGTAAATTTTGGAGGAAAACAAAAAAGGGGTTTATTTGAACTTTGAAGGAGGAAGGAAGGAACTGTGCCTATTTTGACTTTCACAAATTTAAATTCTTTTTAAAAGTCTAATAAGATCTCATTCTTTCCTTAATTGGCCATTGCTATTTCCCACAGCTTTGCTCCAGCTCCACGCGCCATTGTTTCTTTGTACCCAATTCACTGTGAGTGATGTACTGAATTACTGATATTCTTACAATGCTTAGACCGTGCATCAATCTTTGTAATAGAGTGTTAGAGTAAGGTTCATTTTTACGTAACACAAAAACTTAGGTAAAAATTCATTTAGACCATTTGGTCAAAATTGTCTTAAAAGTATTCGAAGATATATTACAGGTTTCAATTATATGTTTACCTAATTATTTTTTCAAAAATTTATCGTGGTTACGTTTTGATTGACTAATTCACTTTATATTATATTAAAAAATAATAAACTTTGTTTTGACCATTTGTTATGTTTGTCTCTTTAGATATCATACAATCTACTATTACTATTGAAACTTCTATTGTGATTCAATTGCAAGAAAATTTAAATTTTGTCTTTTTCGTTTGAGAATTGCATTCTGATTTTACTCCAACCGGATGGTTATATTACATTTTTTTTTCATTTTCTTAATAGAATTGTATTACTATTGATCGGTAAATTTAAACTTTTGTTTGCTTATTTTACATCATTTCGATACTAACTGCATTTTTTCCGATCAAATTTTTCAATTGGATCCATCTATCTAAGAACAACTTCTAACGGTAGTTAAAATGAGAGAGTGTACTGAACGCGCTTCGGTGCGTGATTGAGATTACTCTGAAACAGTAAACACACTTCAAACAAAAAAACCTGAATTAAAACTCCAAGCCTTTGCCTTTAGCAACACAGTCAACCCTCTTCGCGTCGAGAGAGATCGGTCGTAAATTAAATTAGAAAACATAAAATTTATTTTTATTTTTCCTCATCTTCATCAATTTTTTTTTGCTTTTCAGATTTAACACACATAGGCATAGCAATAGAATAATAGTATTATAATATCTTTCGTTCATTTTCCTCCTTATATTTATTCCCTTTTTTCCTTTTGTAATTTCCACTCAAAAAAATCATTTTTCTTGCACACAAGTCAA